CGGGTGGTGGTGGAGGCGTGGGGCAGCTGGTGGAGGTTGTGCAGGTGGGGGACGAGCTCCAGCCAGAAGGCGACCTTGTTGGCGCGGTAGTGGTCGCGCACGCGCGGCTTGAGGCCGCGCGGGGGGCCCTGGGGAGGGGGCAGGCGGGTGGTGGTGGAGGCGTGGGGCAGCTGGTGGAGGTTGTGCAGGTGGGGGACGAGCTCCAGCCAGAAGGCGACCTTGTTGGCGCGGTAGTGGTCGCGCACGCGCGGCTTGAGGCCGATGTGCAGGTAGCGCTTGTCCTTGCCGTCGAAGCGCGTCCACACGACCTCCTCGAAGCGGTTGGGTTTGGTGTGGATGAACTTGGTGTCCTGGGGGACTGGCTGGTTGGGGTCGCTGCGGGGGGAGTGGCCGAATGACCAACTGACCAACTGACCAATTGACCAACTGACCAGCTGAGGAACTGACCAATTGATCAACTGACCAATGATTGACCAATTCATCATCCACCCAACTGACCGCTCATCCACTCAACTCTTCATCCAACCACCCAACTGATCAACTGACCAACCAATGATTGACCAATTCATTGTTTCCCCAACTGATCACCCAACTGACCAGTTGACCAATTGACCAACTGGCCAACCAATGATTGACCAATTGATCAACTGACCAATGATTGACCAATTCATCGTCTACCCAACTGAGCGCTCAACCGCCCAACTGATCACCCAACTGACCAGCTGACCAATTGATCAACTGACCAACTGATCACTCAACTAACCAACTGACTGCTCAACCAACCAACTGACCACCCAACTGACCACTCAACTGACCACTCAACTGACCAGCTGACCAATCAATGACTGACCACTTGATCATCCACCCAACTGAGCGCTCAACCAACCAACTGACCACCCAACTGACCACCCCAATGATCACCCACCCACACGACCTCCTCGAAGCGGTTGGGTTTGGTGTGGATGAACTTGGTGTCCTGGGGGACTGGCTGGTTGGGGTCGCTGCGGGGGGAGTGGCCGAATGACCAACTGACCAACTGACCAACTGACCAACTGACCAACTGACCAACTGACTAATTGATCAACTGACCAATGATTGACCAATTCATCATCCATCCAACTGAGCACTCAACCACTCAAGTCTTCATCCAACCGCCCAACTGACCAACTGACCAATTGATCAACTGACCAAATGACCAATTGACCACCTGACCAACTGACCAACTGATCAACTGACCAAACAATGATTGACCAATTCATCATCTACCCAACTGAGCACTCAACCACCCAACTGACCACTCAACTGACCACCCATCCACACGACCTCCTCGAAGCGGTTGGGTTTGGTGTGGATGAACTTGGTGTCCTGGGGGACTGGCTGGTTGGGGTCGCTGCGGGGGGAGTGGCCGAATGACCAACTGACCAATTGACCAACTGACCAAATGACCAATTGACCAACTGGCCAAACAATGATTGACCAATTGATCAACTGACCAAAAAATGGTTGACCAATTCATCGTCTACCCAACTGAGCACTCAACGACTCAACTCTTCATCCAACCACCCAACTGACCAACTGACCAGCTGACCAACTGACCAAACAATGATTGACCAATTGATCAACTGACCAAAAAAATGGTTGAACAATTCATCATCTACCCAACTGAGCACTCAACCAACCAACTGACCACTCAACTGATCACTCAACTGACCACCCAACTGACCACCCAACTGATCACCCAACTGACCAGTCAACTGACCAGTCAACCACCCAACTGATCCCCCAACTGACCACGCAACCACCCAATGACCCAACCATTGACACAACCGTTGACTCAACCCTTGACCCAACCCTTGACCTATCCATTGACCCCAACACTGACCCAACCCTTGACCCAACCATTAACCTAAACCTTGACCCAACCATTGACCCAACCGTTGACCCAACCATTGACCCATCCATCGACCCAACCATTGACCCAACCGTTGACTCAACGCTTGACCAACCATTGACCCAACCATTGACCCATCCACTGACCCAACCACTGACCTATCCACTGACCCAACCACTAACCCATCCATTGACCCATCCACTGACCCAACCACTAACCCATCCATTGACCCAACCATTGACCCATCCA